AAAAAAAAACTGATACGTTATTTGCTAGTACCTCAAGATGTGCTGCAAAACCATTACGATTTGATTAGATTCAGGGGCATGCAATTGATATATTCATGTTACAATATTGTGTCTCTATTTTACACAACTAGTTACATTTTTAACAAAAAAAAATGCAACCAAAATTTAACACGAACATTTAATTGAACTTGAATATTGCAAATTCTTTATCCCAATTGGGACATCTACAACAAAAATACACTTTAGGTTTTTAAATAATATAGAACAATAAATAATGGCTTGTGCAGTAATATAGTTTTTTTTGTCAATGTTAATATACTCAATTTTTCAAAGTTTTAAATAAAGATTATTGGACTACATTTTATAAGAATATACTACTTAATACTTTCTATATTTTAAAAATGTACATTCAGTTCAATGCCTTACTTTCCATTTCTTTGTAATTACTTGTGAAATTTATGAGCAATTTTTTGAGTGAAAATAGTTTCATAGAAAATCCTACATTAATTTTTTTCAGTGTAGGATATACACAACAAAATAGGTACTCCAGGTGTTGCAAAAATACAGAATGATATAGAGAAATAGATCAAAATAAATAATGTCAAAATAATCAAATCAATTTAAATGACAGCTCTGTGGCAATTTCATCTCTTTTATAACAAACAAGTCTTTTAATATACAGTATCTTATAGATATATATATTTTTCTTGCATTGTGTTGAGAAATCATATCGTTAGTCATTTGATCGATGCATCGATCCATACCGATTGCTTTATTGTTACACACTCTAATAAAGTGGTCTAATAAAGTGATTTTTTTATTCTTAATTTATCAAGTTTTGCTGGTGAACAGCAATAGCATTGACCAGAACCAAACCAGCTCTAACCAGCCTGAACCAGAATGAAAATTCATGCTGGTCTACGTTGGCCAGGGATGGCATCGTAAAACGTGTTAAATTAATACAAAGTAAGCCAGAAAATATTAATTTCCCAGTGCGTCCTTGCAAAAACACAACACAACAGCTACGGATGACCCAGTGCGGTGTCATGCTTACGGTATGGTCATCTGGTGAACAACGAACGACTTGGTCATTCATCAGAAGACTGGAAGGAGCTCAGAAGCAGCGGCGTGTGCTGTGGTGGCCTCAGCCAGTCCGGGAAGCGGTTCTTGCATTTTTTCATAATGTCTCTGTCAGATGGAAGGGGAGGGTTAATTTAAACCAGACACTGAACTGAGCTGACCCAAGGGAGATGAGCTTTGCAGAGCTGGTACATTTCCCAACAAAACAAACTCCTTTTCTCTCTCTCTTCCACCTTCTTTCCTCTGGATTATGTTGGGTGACAGTTCACTCTGAGAGGGAGAAATTAAACACATATAGGTTGAGAGAAATGAAGAGAAGCTTCAGTGTGTATTTGGCCCAGATTCTGCAAAAAATGTACTCAGTAAAGTGATTTTACACCCAAATAAGGAGACATTTTAATATTCACTGAATTGAAAATACACAGAGTCAGTCAATTCGATGTCTGGGTCACTAAATTCCAACTGCTACTGTTCTACCAGCTTATTTTTTTTTTGGATCCTGACAGGAAATTGGAAAATTAGTGGAACTTCTGTTAACAACGTGCATAAAATAAAATTCAACAGATAAGCCCTCTGTAAGTCTCTCTGTAGTCAATTACAGATTACCCTGAAAATCATCTTTGCATTGTTGATGAAGTGTGTTTTGCAGCTTGAATTTCTCACCAGCATGCTTTCAAGTGTTGATCTCTTGGAACCGCTGTTGTGTTCGGATCTTTCAGGGGAAACTGGATGCCCTGTGGGTGTGGCTTAGGAGAGGATATGACCGTGTATCGGTGATGAGACCTCAGCCGGGAGAGAAGGTAATGAATAGTGCCATACGTAACACAGATGCACTATCAACTTGTGATTGTCAACTTGTGGCGTATGCACATAACAGGTCAAAGGTATGGAACAATAAACAATAAACAATCTCTTATGCTCACCAAGCTTGCATTTATTTGATTAAAAATACAATGAAAACGGTAATATCGTGATATATTATCACAATTTAAAACAACTCTTTTCTATTTCAATATCATTTCAAATGTAATTTATTCCTGTGATGCAAACTGAATTTGCAACATCATTACTCCAGTCTTCAGTGTCACATAATCCTTCAGAAATCATTCTAAAATGCTTTGATTTAATGCTCAAGAAAGACTTCTTATTATCAATATTAAAAACAGTTGCTGCTTAATGTTTTTGTGGAAACCATGGTACACTAAGAAGTTTGGAGTAAGCACCAAAAACAAAACAAAAACAACATTCATATTAATTGAGCACCAAATCAACATATTAGAATGAAAATTCGGCTGAACGTTCCATCACAGGAATAAATGACATTTTAAAATATATTTCAGAAAAGGTATTTTAATTTATTTCAAAAGCCTTGCTGAGCATAAGAGACTTCTTTTAAAAATCCTTATTCCAGTTGTTTGACATGTAGCGTATAATTTATTAAATTAACTTCATATCAAACTTATAGCATAGATATTCGCCATGTAAACTCTGTGCTTATTACTTAACTCTATGACAATATTTTCAAGTTATAACAACACATTAAATAGGGCTAAAAACTTTCCACACAAGGTAGTAGAAGGTAATGCTGAATAAAGCAGTCCTCTGGGTTATTTCAGAATCGGTTCTCCTTAAAATGTTGCAGGCAGATTGTGAGGAACACTTGAAAACATTGTGATGTATATTGAGGATGAAAGGAGGCCAGCTGTTAGCAATAAGTGCAGTCAGAAACAGAGGCAGACTGAAGGTACTCAGGATGCTGGCTCAGCTTCAGACCAATAGGACCAGTATGTTAATATTGCTCCTGCCTAAAAGGAATGCAGTCTGCTTAAAACATTAAGCAACCTCCCCTTTCCCTCAGAAGAATGCACAGAGGGGAGTTTTGGGGTGTCTGATCTGCTGTTAAATAGAACAAGAAAGTTGGACGGAAATCAGATGGCCTTTAAAATTAAAGCAATGGGACCGCTTTGGATCTTCACAGGCAAACAAGAGCTTCTGTTGACTCTTTAAAGCTATATTAAACTGCACTGAGCTATATAACACAAAACAGTAAACTGTACTCGATTCATCTCACGAATGCCTTTTTTATCATTCAAACTAGCCATACTGTGGAATAAGTCCGGTTTAAGTAGAAACAATTAGAGTTGTCATAAGAAATCAGATTTTCCTTGATCTTATGAAGTCAGAGTTTGACATACTATTTAAATATATGTACTTAATTATTTTCCTAAAAACCATGCCTTGGAATCATCAGAAAACAGAAACTATTAATATGCACTACCGTTCAAACTTTTGTGGTAATTTTTTTATATTTATGAAAGAAGTCTCTTATGCTCACTGCATTCATTTGATCAAAATACAGTAAAACAGTAATATTGTGAAATATTATTACAATTTAAAATAACGGTTTTCTATTTTAACATTTTAAAATGTACTTTAGTCTTGTGATGGCAAAACTGAATTTTTGAGCAGCCATTACTCCAGTCTTCAGTGTCATATGATCATTCAGAAATCATTCTAATATGCTGATTTAGAAATATTTCTTATCAATGTATAACATGTGGTAACTGTGACATTTTTTTGTTTAGGATTGTGTGATAAAAATAGAAAGTTTGAAATAGCACACTTTTAAAAAAAAATGTAAATGTCTTTTTACTGTCACTTAATCAATTTAATGCATCCTTGCGGAGTAAAAATGTTAATTTCAGAAAAAAAAAAATCTTACTGACTTACTTTTCAACAACGGTGTATGACGTCACATTTACACATCAACACCTTTTAAGTTATTCAAAAACTTAGCACATCCAGAAAACATGGCTTCAATTCTTTGTCCTGAAAAAAAAAAAATCCCAAAACAACATTTGTTTTCTTGTTTCATTTCTTATACAAAATGTATTCATATAAGAGCTTTTACAAATGAAATGTAAATGTTTGACTCTCCAGGGTCGCTGCATGAAATTTACCCGTGTGAAATCCTGCCCACCGCCTCGGTACCCGCTTTACAACAACCCGTCGAGCCACATCTACAGCCTCCCCCACAGCAGATGCCCTCCTGTCCCGCAGGGCACCCTGCCGCCCACCCCGCGCTGCTCCGCCCACTCTCCAACCTCCACCCCGCCCCCAACATCCATAACCCCTCCCCCTTACACACCACCTCCAGCCAGAGCTCTTCCTCCTACCTGTCTGAACATCAATGTGACTCTGCCTCCTCCTCCACCCACACCGCCGCCAGCAACAAGCTTCCTACCGCCCTCGTCACCCAGCACCTTGCCTCCGCCCCCTCAGGCGGCTCCGCCCGGACGAGCCCCGCCCCCTTCTCGTCCACCGCCTCGCCCAGGCCCTGATGAACCACAGTGCTACCAGGATTGAGTAGATCCAAGTAATTTGCACAAGAAAAACTGCTGGATACGCAGTTACAAAAATTAAGCACTAAACTTTTCAAGCATTAGAAAAGAGCAACGTGATTGTTATAAATGACAATGGTTGCAAATGGGATTTAACGTGGCAGTGACTGTATTATTGCATACTGGATTCTGATTAGGTTGACAAACATTCTAAGGCGTTAATTTTCTAAAACTGCACATCTATGAAGTAGCTCGAGGTTTGTTGACTTTCAATATCACCTTGCCTTGTTCTTTATTAATTGTTTTGAGGTTTCAAATGAACAGAACGTCAAAGAGAGTCAGATGAAAAAAATCAAAGAGATAATAAATTATAAGCATTTGGAGTTTTTAAAATGAAAAATGTATTTGATTTGCATAGAAAATTTCCATCCATTTGGATTACACAGTTCACATGAACAAACAAATAAACAATGCGATGCATATTCGTCAGTCACTCAAAAACAGGTAGGATTTTTGCAATAGTACTAATAAACTGAATGAGTTTACACAATAGCCAGGTTTATATATTTATCATCAATAAATCAATCTCACACATTTTAATTATTCGAATATTGCTTGTTGCACAGCTAGCTGTATTTCAACCATTCTTAAGTGAATGAACTGAACTGTTTTATGCCGATTCTAAACAAATTTAATAAATGCATTCTGAATTAGGATTGTTTAAATAAAATCAAAAAGATGCAAATAATAAACTATGCCATTATTTTAAATCAGTGTAAGACCATGCTATTTTATATACATTTTAAATAAACAGATTTTTAATTTAGGTCTTTTTTGAGGGTGGAAACTGACGTTGGACCATTAAATAATTGAAGACTAATGTGTTTTAATATTCAACAATTCAGCGGTCGGTTTACAGTTATTCTATGCCAAAAAATAAAAAAAATTTTAATATGCCTAATGGCTTCATTGTTCATAAAAAATAATTCTGTAAATTATTCACATTGTATCATTATTAGCATCTTAACATATCTTTGCAGATGTATTACAAAGGTTTAAACGAGAAGCATTAGTATTATAGATCCTTTAGTACTTGAGAGGTCAGGTTCAGCTTTGATGCTTTTTGAATGTCAGGAAAACATCTGCAGGATAAAACATTCAAGTGACTGCAAGAACGGAATGAAACAATGACAAAACTGATCAAATAGTTCATTCGGTCTGTAGTCCTAAAACCCAGAAGAGAATTAGCACGTCCATAAATTCCCCAGGGAATTTCCAGTGGGAGTTCAGAAAAGTGGTTTTGGATTTGAGTAAAATAAAGTCTGTTAACATTTGAAGAGACTTTCACATTCTCCAAAATACAGTGCACTGTCGACTACAAGTTTATGTGCTTGTTGAACATAGGATTATAACATAGGAAGGTTTCTTCAAGTTAAGTTAACCACGGACCATATTTCACTTATAAACTGGAAATAGCTACACGTACAACCCATTAGAAAGTCCAGAAGGATCTGACTGAACGTTTGCGGAACGATGCAGGCTTTTGTTTTGTACTGTATATATAGATGCTTTCTAAACAGCTATGCTAACAACAGATCAGTATTCATGAGTAAAAATTCATGAGGTGCTTTATGATTTTTAATTTAAAATGTCTTTTGGTCTGTCGTTTGCAAGTGATGTATTTAAAGGGATAGTTCGGTGTCATTTACTGACCCTCATGTCACTCCAAACCCATTTGACTCGGTTTCTTCTGTAGAACACAAAATGATTCAAACACATTTGATATATTTTCCTGTATATCTGCTAAAGAAACTCATACAGGTTTGAAATGGCATGACATTAAGTAAAGTATCACAGAATTTGTAATAATGCTACAAACTATTCATTTAAGCATACAGCAGTTCTGTTTTTGTTTTTTTTGCTACATTTAACTATTCTGTCTCTTCTTTTACCTTGAACAGTGATTTTTACTTCTCATTCTGGGTTGAAAAGCTTGTGCTTGAGCTGTTACGGATGTTCAGAGCGTGTCAGGCTATTCCATTTTAACGAAGAGCATGTTTTTACACGCTTCAATTAAATGTTGGGATTTGTACTTCTGTGTCTTACTTTTGGGTCAGCATATTTTATGTGGGCTCAATAGCATTTTGGTAAGCATCACAATTATGACTCCGTCTCTGAAACCATCCACACCTATGATAAAGGAAATGTTCAGCTTGAGCCTTGAGTCACATGGCTGTTATTTGCAAATTAAATGCCATTCATAGCACCGGTGCCGAGTGGCTTAATGAACAGCGATGAGGGCATCAACTCATTAGCAGCACATTTATGCTACCATTGAAACCAGCCACTCAGATATATTAAATGCTGTTGTTTCAGCAAAGCATTGATATTTATAATTGGTCAAACTCAAGGTCTCTTTGAAGACTGTATGGTGATCTCTAAGATAAACCCTATGGACTACTTGCACTGCGCTTTGTGATGCACTTCTGTTTTCAAATAGTAAGGCTCGATAGTTAGGTATGCTTTCAATGTGCTGTATCCACCTAGTTAACTAAACGCCACTTAAAGTGTTAGTTCACCCAAACATGAAAATTCTGTCATTAATTACTCACCCTCATGTTGTTCGAAACCCGTAAGACCTTCGTTCATCTTCGGAACACAATTTAAGATATTTTTGATGAAATCTGAGGGCTCTCTGACCCTCCCATAGACGGCAAGGTAACTACCACGTTCAAGGTCCAGAAAAGTATCAAGATGATCGACAAAGTAGTCCGTGTGACATCAGTGGTTCAACTGTAATGTTACGAAGCTACGAGAATACTTTTTTGCGCAAAGAAAACAAAAATAACGACTTTATTCCACATTTTCGCCTCTACTGCGTCACTTGTGGACGCGCGTTCACGACAGTACAATGACGCGAGCGTGTGGCGGCGCTGACCCAGATCCGGCGTGATGACGTCATTAGAAAATGTGGAATGTTATTTGTTTTCTTTGTGCAAAAAAATATTCTTTAGCTTCATAACTTTATAGTTGAACCACTGATGTCACACAGACTACTTTGTCGATCATCTTGATACTTTTCTGGACCTTGAACGTGGTAGTTACCTTGCCGTCTATGGGAGGGTCAGAAAGCCCTCAGATTTCATCAAAAATATCTTAAATTGTGTTCCGAAGATGAACGAAGGACTTACGGGTTTCGAACAACACGAGGGTGAGTCATTTTTGGGTGAACTAACCCTTTAAATACATGTTCCTCAACTGAAAAACACTGTTAAGAGAAGATGAAACCACTGGCTTGCTGCAGGCTTGTAGGAAAACCAATAGTAGTTTGCAAGTAGTCCATTGACTTTATTTATACATGTTCCTGGTTAACAGAGTTCAAACAACTTTCTTCTTCGGTTGATGTCATATGCTCTGGAGACTTTTGATTAAAGGTAATCTGTTGCCAAATGTAGATATGTTAAGTAATTTAATACTTGTTTTGACAGGCATTGCACGCTACTATTTACAAACCGCGTCTCACTCGATTTACTGAAAATTATGCTCACATTCACTTGCTTATAAGATAAATAGTCTTTGATGAAACATTCCAGTAATGTGGCCATGGGCTGCATCAACACAATCAGAGGCTCTGGGGCTTTAACTCTCAGGGTGCCATGTGCTGCATGCACACTCATACAGAACATAAAGCATCATTAAATTAACCTGAACCTTTATACATGTTCCAGGTCAACCCATTTTCTTCTTCGGCTGACATCATTTAAAGATAATGAATAGTGAAATAGCTATTCAGTTTTTGTTCTAGACAGCTTCTGTAATTTCCTGCTAGTTAATGTCATAAAGGTTATCCCTATAATTGCAAATAATGATAGAAATGAAAAAGCAGCGTTACACTTTGGGTTTGGCAAGATTTGGTACAACGTTTACGTTTTTTAATTCTTATTATGCTCAAAGCTACATTTACAGTTAGGTCCATATATATTTGGACACCGACACAATTTTCATAATTTTGGGCCTTTACTGCCTTTAGTTTTGTCTTCAGGAAGTGAAATGCATGCTCAATCAGGTAGAAATCAGGAGACCGACTTGGACATTTTAGAATATTCCACTTTTTACCATCAAAAACTCCTGGGTTGCTTTTGCTGTATGTTTTGGGTCATCGTCCATTTGTACTATGAAGCGCTGTCCAATCAGCTTTGCTGAATTTGGCTGAATCTGGGCAGACAGTATTTCCCTGTACACTTCAGAATTCTTCCGGCTGCTTCTGTCTTCTGTCACATCACACTAATGCGTTATTTTTTTCTCTCAGAATGTACCAAACTGTTGATTTGGCCACTCCTAATGTTCCTGCTATCTCTCCGATGGATTTGTTTTAATTTTGAAGCCTAATAATTGTCTGTTTCACTTGCGTGGGGAGCTCCTTTGACCGCATGATGCGGGTTCACAACAACAGCTTCCAAATGCAAATGGCACACTTAAAATCAACTCCAGAAACAGCTTTTGAGTCAATTGTCCAATTACTTATGGTCCCTTGAAAAAGCCCATATTCCTTATTTAACTGTAACTTGAATGTGTTTCGGTCAACAGCTAAAATAATAAAAATATATATGGACCTAATTGTATTTGATCAGAACACAGTTAAACAATAATTGTTGTGAAATATTATAATTGAATATGTATTTTAAAAGGTAATGTCACCCTGTGATGGCAAAGCTGAATTTACAGCAGTTAGTTACAGACGCATACTCACATATACTTGTTGATAAGTTAAACAGTCTATGCTGCATGCACACCAATACATTCTGCAATAATGTAGACTATTACCTATACATATTCTCCATCATATTTGCACAGTTTCACACAAACAAGTAATATTTTTGTAGTAACAAAATCAATAGGCCTAAACAAAAACTTTAAAATATAAGAACTTCCATAGGAAGTCTATAGGATAATAAATACGCATAAATATTACTCTCTTTGAATGGGTTGATTTAGCATACTGAAAAAGTATCCAGATAGGACATACCTTGCACACATATTCGATGGGGGCTTTGTGAAGGTAAGCATTAAAGTGAATTCCATAAAAAAAATTAAAAAGAAAATCCTGAGGTGTCCTCACACTCAACTGTGTCACACGCTGTTTTCCTGAAGGATTTTACAGACTGATTAACACTTGCGGAATGGATCCTCATTTTCACATTTCAAGAAAAAGCAGAGTTGCAAATTACTGGTGTCTTGGGGCAAAAATGGCATCACATGGGTTCTTGCTTTATTCTCTTAAAGGGGTCATATGATGCTGCTAAAAAGAACATTATTTTGTTTATTTGGTGTAATGAAATGTGTTTATGCGGTTTAAAGTTCAAAAAACACATTATTTTCCACAGACTGTACATTATTGTTTCTTCTCTATGCCCCGCCTTTTTGAAACGCGTAGATTTTTACAAAGCTCATCGGTCTGAAAAAGCGAGGTGTGCAACTTTTATAAAGAATATCTCTTTGGATTTGAGACTTTAGTCTTTGCAACTTTACAGATCTTCTTTATGCACCAAGAGCTTGTAACACTCCAAAGAGAAAGGAAAAATTGAAATCGCATCATATGACCCCTTTAATATCCACTTTTTTCCTGAGGAACTGAGCGCCGCCATGATGGATTTCAACTTCTGTTTGGATGCTGTCGTGTCCCATGTTAATATAACCTATCGACTGAATTATT